TTTTGCAAGGCTCTAGCCTCTAGCTAAAGGTTGTCTATTTTTATTTGACATTTTTCAACAGCGGGTGTTTAAAATGTTTCTGGTGCCTCTCTTAAACTGGCCAAGGTGTTTACATTTTAAAATCAAATTACCACACTCCAGTTGCCCCAACAGCATATATGCCTTTATTTAATTCATGATACCATGTCATAAATAATTTTGAAGAGCAGCATCTCTGTTTATATAGTCAATGAGTGTTTATAAACATGTGCAATAGGGATATAATATGCCTCTACATGAAATAGTGGCTGATAGCTGAATAGAAATCATTACATATTATTCTGTTCAGAAACAGTTTTGCTGCATCATCATATATTTAGTGCTGCAGGAAGCATTATCTACAGTGGTTAGAACCAGGTGTGGGATTTGCGAGATCAAGGTTCTATTCTTGATAATGTCTGATTGTACAATCTTAACAAATCCCAGCCTCTCTGCCTAAATTGTCCTGTTTGCAGAGTGTGTGCCTTGCACAGTGTTTTGAGATTCTTGGTTAGAATATGCAAGGTAGGTGCTAAATATTATTTTTCTTTTCTTGTTCATTTATACAAAGACTTATAGAAATACTTATTACAACAAAATATTTTTCAAGAGTTCATTTGTTCCTGTTGTGGATTCCCCACTTGATGCTGTAATCCTTTGTTTGGTAGATCACAACAGGTAGCTGTGGAATTTATTGCAATGCAACAATCAAAGGATTAGCACTTCAGCTAGGAAACAAGCAGCAGGAGCTGCAGAACTTCTGTGAGATGCAGAGTTCTTATTTAAATACAAGGAGAATAATTTTTAGGCCTGTTTTTCAGTGTCCCAGAGTCAGTAGTAAACCTGACAGTAGTAAAGTGCCTCTCTTGCAGGGCATGTGAAGCTAAATTCTGATTTCTGTTACATCATTTCAAATCCAAAATTGCCCCATTACACATCCATACTTACTTTAGAGTTATGGCCTCATGGAATGAAGCGGATGGGAAAAGCTGAGCAATAGTAAAATAGTGTGCATGAAGGTATGATTCAGAATAATTAGATGGATTTAAGTAAGAGAGTCAGGATGAACACCAAGAAAAACTCAGGGAAGTGGAGGGAGCTGCTTTAAAAAGCTACATTGGACCAAGAGCAGAAAATGTTATGTAATTAATTCTGCATTGATGAGGACATGCCCTGGATGCCATGGTCTTTCTACCTCTGGGTTTTATGGATTTTCAAAGCAAAGCCTTGTTATTTCACTAAAACTTAGGGAACTTCCACTCCAAAACTCCTAGACATTATTTTGAAAATGTACTTCCCATTCCATTCCAAGTGTTTGGCAATAAGCAAAATACAAATTGCATTGAATACTGCCACAGTGAAAACTTTAGATGGGTAAGATGGATGTTTGGCATCTTGAGACATCAAAGTATATAATCATTATCATTTACAGAATGTCTTATGAAAAATACGTAGTTCATGGAGGCTACAACATCTATATTCTTGCAGTTAATTAACTTTTAGAATGCTACAAAGGAACTTAGATATCAACTATTAACATATTATGATAAAATTAATATTGTCAAATCAAGACAACATGACAGAGCTATGATTGAATACCCCCCACAAGCAAACTGTACAAAGTTATATTAAGTGATATTTTTTCTCTCTCTCCTCTCTTTTGAGCATTTATGGAATATTAATATGTTCTTCTTTATAATCATCCTGCTTTTTTCATATAATTCATTCATTGATACCATGGTGACCCTATAATATGAATCTCCATACAAATCTTTATTGTAACAGATACTGGATGGTGGAATCACTGAACAAATTAAGAGAAGTAAGATAAGCAGGTACAGATGATCAGAAACAATTGGAAAAAATAGAGGAGTGGTTCTTCTGAAGACTGCAGACATAGGAGGCTACATTCCTATTCTAACGTACTGATGTATCAATGTACTCTCTAAGAAAAGGAATGAATATTGATGGCAAAAGCAACCATAACTGATATGAGAGGAAGAATTTTCAGAATTATAAACTGAAACCATCCTCTTCAAACACTGCTTCCAACAGTGTTCCCTGTTGAGAATTTACTTAGTCACCCCTCTACCAGCATCTGGGGCTCATGACAGAGAGAAAAGCTAAACTTGGGATCCTATGACCCCAGCTGACTTCCTGCCCTTTGGGCGGGGGGCTGGACTCGGTGATCTTCCGAGGTCCCTTCCAGCCCTAATGTCTATGAAATAAACTGTTGTTTTGGTGAGCAGCTAAATTTCTTGCTCAAGTATGTTATGTGATGGTTCATTAACTATCTGTTGGTATTTTGGGAGGTGTGCAGAGGTGTGTGAGACAGAGAAATGTGGTGACATCTCAGAACTGGATCTTTTCCAATAAGTTATTGATTCCATATTTACACTGCTCTTTGTAGCTATTATTTTTAGTTGATGCAAATTGGCTGGGGAAGGCATTGGCTTCAAAGACCACATAGATTTCTGCAGGGAAGTGGCTCCGCTGGGTTTAAGTCTGTCAGGGTATGACAGTAGGTTTTGTACTATTATTGTCTCTAGCATTCTAAGCCCAGCGGGGCCAAACCAATTTACTAGATCAGAGGGTCTTGAACCACTGAACACTACTTCCTGATATTAACCCTACCTTAAGCTGGATCATTCATTACACTATACTAAGTATTTTTATATTTATCCAAAGACTTCTACTGGCGAAATACGTATTTCCCACATGACATGTCATTTTGTCTAGTGTTGTGAACTTTCTTTGATAAAGGAGTATGTTTGGCAAAAGGGGCTCAGTTCCTATTGCCAAAGAAAACTTAACTCAGAATTTGCCTTCCCTTGTGGGCTTGCCTCATCCTTAACATTATTATTATACAAGGATTTTTTTTTAATGCATACAATTAATTTTTTGAGACAACGAGCTAGATCCCAGACTTACCAAATTTATGCCAGCACAGAATCTAGCCCAAATAGTAATGCAACTTTTTATTTCACTCCAGTAAAATTATGATGTGTCTGTGCATTTTTGAGGCAATTTAGAAACAGGATTTGCAGCAGAGGACTGTGGGTGAAAGTTCTTTGACAGTTCTTAACAAATTCTTTAGCTTATCTCTGGGCTAGAAATACTTTTCTACACTAAGTAAACATGAAATTCAGCAACCAGCTGTTTTGCACCCCTGTTCATATTTAGCTTACCAAATCAATGACCTCCCATACCGGCTAACTTTGAACAGACACTCTAAAGA